CCCTACACTACGATTTGCTCCTGTGTCATGGGTGCGTCTACAAACATACATGTTCACATACACATGACACCCAGACCTGAAACAACAATCTGTGGATCACACAAAGAGTTGTTACGTGCGGGAATCGAACCCGGGACACGTTACGCGGCAGCCAGTTGCCCAGCCACCGCTCCAACCGTGCAGTCAATGTATTTTAGTTAAAAGTATATCTTCAAACATATTCAGTTGGAATTTTATACATCGATTCAATTTAAATACGTCATCACATGTAAAAACTAAAATTTGAACAAACCACAAGAAAATATCTTTAGAGTTTGCATCACCACTGATACCCGCAAAGAAAGAACACTTACTAATGCAAGTCATTTTTTTCTCCCAATTTATTTATACAGCAAATAAACTGCACTCAATAGATTTCAATCACTGCGAAAAGACGAGAACACAAAAACTGGTGTTGAGGGAACAGACAGACAGAAAACACCTCGCCTGATACAAGGATCCTCATTTTCCGATCTTAGGGAGTTCCCTAGAGAGATTATAGTTATACTATCTGTTCCCTAAAGACTGTGGCGTAACTACAAGGTGATAAGTCAGCAAAATGCCATGGGCCAGCAGCTGGGAGGAGGGCGCCGTTCAGAGGTTTCCATCTGAACTTTTCTGTTTTTTATTGAAAATGGGGGCCCATCTGATGAAATGCCTCGGGCCCAGAACAGTATAGTTACGCCACTGTCTATAGTGGTGGCGTGATCCCTATTAGTCGTCAACTCTTCAACGTGCGTCGCCACAGGTGTTTTGGTAGTTGCATCTATTGTAATCACAACATCGATTCGCCTAAACGGACAGATAAATTGGCTAAAACTCAAGAAATGAACGTAAATTGTCCGACACTTCGCATTCGCAACCAATAGACAAATATCAAACAATAAACTAAGTATAGCAAGTCTGAAGAAATATTTCTAAAATTACTCTCAACAAAGTCTAAAAGTAAATATTGAGTTATTTGAAAATGTCTGGGTGGTGTCTGGCAACCAGGTGTATGTTGTGGTAACAAATGGTTTTAATTTATTTGCAAAAAGCTATTTCAATTTGCTACTAGACATAGGCCTCTCCTATATTACTCCACTAAATTACAAAACCCTTTAATTGAAATGTTTTAGAATAAATAGCTCGACTTAGAATTTTAGTACCGTACCGTTAATATACCTATCGTACCGTACCTATAGGGAGTTTCATGTTTAGGTGGCACCAAAATGATTTAGGACTTCAGTTCGAGTTAGTGAAGTAAGTACCTAATGCAGTTTTAAGTGATATTTTTCACTCATTCTTTAAACTTGATTGACTATTTCTTATGACTTCTAAAATACATTTAGTTTATGAAACAGTAAAACTATTTTACCTACACTACGTAAAACTAATCCAGATATCCCAGACAGATTATTTCGGTCGAAAAACTATTTGATCGGATTGCCACTACAATAGAAGACAATCTAATTACACATTTGTTATTCTCAACGTTACAGTTGACACCCAAATAATCCAATAACGATAATAGGTCGAGTTATACAACCAAAATGAAATCCAATTCAGGACTTATACTAGCATTACGTGTTGTAAAAGAATTAATATACCTACCTACTACCTACATACTGTTTTTTCATCAATCCGCTTTTTTGGGGAGAGGAAAACAACGCTTTAAATAACTCTTCGTGTCCAGGGTGAGGCGAAAGGGAGTATCTGCTGACTAGAAACCACCCCGTTCCAACACCTAGGTATTTCGGGCCGGAGCGCTGCTTACGCTCATTCGGTTCTACGCAGCACCGGTTTGATCAGTACGCCTGTCATACGAATCGACATAAATACGTTGCACATTTTTTTTTTTGTAAAAGCTAGTTAGTTCTCAGACCAGTTTTGCGAACAACAATAAAGCGAAATTATGTAAGGTCTTAACTCAACGCTAATTGTAACCTAGGATATGACTAACTCCCAAACGACTAAATCACTTCTAGCCCATAAAATGTACGTGAAAACATCATAATAATATGTCAGTCATCAATCATTCTGCGAAATAGAGTGAACAAGGTTTAATGGGCGTAGGAATAACGACCAATCATACTTAATTGTATCCTTGCAATTCCATAGCCCCAGGCTAAAACATCCGGCGCTAAACATGTCTCGCTCTTACACATAATCGATTTTACTTCAAACAATAAAGTCAATGGATATAATTAAGATTAGAATCACAGGCCATAGACATAATAGTTTTGCACTACAGTGTCGCCCGAGGTCCTAATTGTCATTGCATTTTAGATAACCTATATATACCTATAATCCTACTCAAGAACAAGACTTGTAAAAACATTGTTCAATAAAAATTGCTAGATTGAACGTACAGATTTGTAAAATGGGTATTTAATGCATTTGTGGCTGAGTTGTGTTAATAGTGTAAGCAAAACACTACTAAGTTTAAAAACTATAGAAACTAGTACCTACTCATACAACAAACGATTTATTGCTATCTTGCCAAAAATGGAGAATATAGGAATTTTCGAAACCATACCCCAAATGTCCCCCAAATATGGTCTGAATCAAATAAACACGATTTTGTAATGAACCACATCATTAAAAAAATAATAAAAACATTTCGGGGACAAATGAAACTTTTACTTCTTATCTTCCCCTCATTGGAAATTCCTCCTTAAATTTGGGGGAAGACATGTGGGCAGATACGTGAAGACGCAGATGAGACTGAACCCAAAAAACCGCGAACGAAGCATCTAGGTATGTTGAAAAAATCAAAAGTATTTCTTACGATATTAAGACTTGGTAGATATATCTTATTGATGTTAAGAAGAATTCGCCAATTTGATAAATGTACTTTTCAGTATGCGAGTGAATGTTATCTGCATACAAGGGCAATGATCTCATAGAAATACTACCTAAGGTTGAAAGTCTAGAAACGTCTATTCGAACACTGAAATAAAATGTTCTACACCTAGACTGTGCCATTGACATTAAGAGTTTATTAAACTTGAGGAGATCGTCAACCTGCGTATATTTTATATAACGCTCGTTATTTTATACAACACTCATTATTATATATTGCGAAATAGGTCCTCATCGATATCAAGGGTAAACACTTCACGGTCGTGAAGCCATATATGATGTCTAGGCGTAAGATTATCTCACTGTGCAACCAAAGTTGCATTGATTACTATCTCTATCTGCTACCACTAAACGGTAACTAAACAGTCATCAATTAAACGATAAGAGGCAAAAATATGAATTGTTTTTATTAGTCATAAAATCTTCAGGAAGTTTTATTTTATTGACAATTTCTTATTGGAAAATTACTTCTGAGTGGCACAATAAAGTTCTGGTATTTGGGAATAACGAAATTCTTTACTGCATTTGAGCTGGATAGTCGCCTTTCATGAGGACATTTGTTTCAAAACGTATACTTAACTATGTTATATTAAAATGATATGTCACCTCAATACCCATTGGTTGCACTTTAAAATGAATGAGACACATAGGATGGATTTTTCTTGTTCATGTCTCTTAATTGCTGAAATAGACCCATAAAAACATCCACAAAATGTTTAGAAATTGTAAAATTAATTAAAATGAACTATATTACGAACTAGTAATATGCTTACAAAATACGCACTTTATATTAATTTACGCAGCCATATTGCTTACACAGATAAATTATGTGCAACGATGCAACTCCCCTTGTTACAAACAATTCAGGTGCAACAATATAATGTCAGATATATTATCAGTCGTCTCGTGTTGATAACCGGTGCGCATACTATGTCAACAACCTAGTGGCTGATTCCATGGAACTACAAGTAGAAACGGCATATCAAGCTGAACTTCTTAGAATTTTATGTTCAACTGTATTCCAAAATATTAAGGTTGAAAATCTGATGAAAGTAATTGGTAAACTGGAATTGCTTAACGTGTTGGTATAAACAATGATAATTCTATAGAATCAAGGATGTTCTCATATAAACATCTGAGTATCAGTCTTTTATTGTCCCCTACTTCCGTAATGTTTACGAATAGAATACTTCTGCGAATTATACCCTGATAAGATAGTGTACTTAGAATCACAAATAACATTCCTCACATGCACAATCATACTTTCAACAAAAGAAAAATATTCAAGATTTTAACAGTGCCAAATTTTTCAAATCCTGGTTACCAATGAAAGTAAGTACGTAAAGGAAGTACCCATAGTAATCGGCTCTTTTACATACTTAACATAAAATACTTTAAACTATATAGCTAGGGACCGGTTTACCGGTTTTCGTACTGTACAGAAGTATGTAAGTTTTAATTATAATCAAACGCAATTCTCAGCTTTAATTCCGTCTTCATTCCAGAAACCGTGCCGAGAGCTAGAATTAAAGTGCAAACCTGGAAGTGTAAAGGAACTTGCGAAAGTTGCACCTATGCGTCAAGTCATACCCGCCGCAGTACTTCATAATAACTGTTGTTTAAATTCGAAAGTCCATATAATTTCTAAGCACACGTAAAACACTTTAATGTATTCAGAAATACAATTTGGTCGTAAAAACTTAGAAGTATTAATCTCTTTCCTAAAAAATTATGTAATATAAATTTCACTCTGATTGGTGTCGTAATGTAATATAAAGTAATTAAAGATCAAAACTAAACCAGTTGGAAGAATAAAATTGAAGGCATCAATGAATTACACATCTGTTTATAACTAATCTACACCACAGCCTATAATTAAATTAATAATCCTAATAACTACCTCAGGGCATTCCAAATAAAATAAAACCTTTTTCAAGCTATTAGAGATAATTGATTTCGACGCTCGATTAGGAAAATAAAAAAGCCATAATTATCGACAAATCGTTAAAGCCGAATTTAACCAAAGCTCCAACTACGCCGTCGACTTAGGTTAGCATACCAGCCGCATAAATCACCTGCTAATAACAATTTTAATGTTTTCCTGAGGTTATTCTTACCAGACTTGCCGCAGCGCGCGCTCCCCAGCACCACAACTCTTATTCGATTAACTGTCATCTTCATTAGTCCGTTTATTTAATCACTGCACTCAATTATAATGTTTGTGCATTTAAAATCTGAGCTACAAGTCGTATTCGTTAATTCAAAATGTTCGAAACAAGATCGCGTTGGCGGCAATATCAGCTGTTACTCAAAGATGGCGGACGCACGCGCGCACAACGCACCTGCTTGCGAGCGACTGCCGTCAAACGAAATTGGCGCAAGGCGCATTCAGGCACGTCTATTACTACAGTGAGGAGTGAGAGACATTTGAATACAAACTCATTTGTCTTTGACTGCTTTTTTCGTTGCAGTTCAATGGATGCATTGATTACTAAAACACAAAGCCTGATCCCTCTCCCAGTCATCTACATTTTAGACTGTGATGCTCCCATTATGTCAACTATCAGCCTGCCAGACAAAAACATCAATTAATTTTTAATAAATATTCATGAAATGAGGTTGCACATTTTTCTATTGTTAATTTTAATAACAGTGACTGCTTTGATAGAGACGTAGACAACGCAAAAACAATGATGAAGTTTGATGTCAGACTTAACCAAGACACCGCAGATTTGATCCAGATACATATGCGAATACGAATGTAACATGCTTTACATACAAGATTGAAAGTTACCACACGTTGGCAGCCATTAGAGTAATGGGGCTAATGATGACTGTCCATGTAATATATTTTTTGTGTCCCATTTCTATCACAAGACCCAATAATAACGTTGATGTTTGCACAAAAAATAATTGACAAGCGTTTAATGGTCTTAAGTGAAATGTTTGACAGCACGGACCATGGACGGTAATCTAGGAGTCGCCAATTTGTTGGGCATAAGAAACGTAGGGTGTGTGTCGCGGTACTATCAGCGAATATTACGGTTAGGAGAGCAGACTGCGCGCTTAATCCGCGGAATGTATGCCAACAGCCAATACGCGCCGACATGTGATATGATATAATGTACAGTCCACGACTAAAGTGATACATAAAACCAGTAGTACAACAGTCACTCGGTAAATTGTTTTACATTAACCTTCAAGCTTGTATGCAACTCTATTTTTCGAAATTAAGATTTTACCTTTTACAGGAAACCAAAAAAAGTATTCCTAAGACCTTCGGAATCGAAGAAACGTTGTATATACTATAATTGTGTAATTAATGAAGTAAGGCTATTACACTTAAAATAATGTAAGCAAAGGTTAGCTATTTAAAGCAGAAAACAACGGTACTAAATAAACAGAGGGAAAAATAAATTTACCCTTTGAAAATTAACATCATAATAATATAATGTTTACCTATTTTTTTAAACAAATGGAAAATCTATAGCAAACCTGGTTTCATTTAAGTAATTTTTTTTTTTAATAAACGTATTTTATTATGTTACTAATTCAAAGGCGGGAGAAGCCATCGAATGATCTTCCCCTCACAAAAAAAAACTGTTGCTATTTTCAATAGCAATCTAGATCATAGGTATATAAGATGTCAATCATTCAACAAAAAGTTGACAACAATGGTGAATCCGTTTGATCTTATCTAGATCTAGATCCCAGCAAAAACAAATTGTTAATTGTTTTCGCTCGAGTAATTAAACCTACTATTTTTTTTCGGCCTACTCACGTAATTATTTGACGAGAAACTCGACTAGTTTCAAGCTATGCTAGAGGCCCATATCCATGAGCAGAGTTCCTCGTGAAATAATTACGTGAGTAAGCCGAAAAGAATAATAATTAATTTAGTACGTCTCACGAAAGTTATTTAGTAGGATTTTCTGGACTTTTTTGTAATCACTGGAATCGGTCTAGCCGTTCTCAACTACTATATCATATACATATATCTACTATAATGAGTCCGCTAAACAAAATAGTACCTACATATTGATATAATTATTTACCTCGACAAATAAACGTAAATCTGTTATTGATACCAAGCCAATATTTTGATGCTAAGACGACATAAAACAGTCCTTTAAATAAAACTCGATCAGTTTTTGTTGCGAAATGTCGTAGATCGGGAGATTTCAATGTTCCTTGCATTCTACAGTTTTGTTTTGTTTTAATAGGGTGCCCTAACGGTTTCATATAGAAGAATTTTAACAAGCTCTTTGTTAGCGTGCTCCTAATATCGTGTGTTCGTAGTTAGAGAAATAGAATGGCTGTCGCCACTTGACTGAATAGCTATGAAACATAAAGAGGTAGATGGGAATAAAACAATACGGTACATAGTGATGTAGACAAAGAAATACAAATATAAGAGTGTCAATAGTAAAGACAAATAATTATGTTTGAATAAGAAACAAATACTAGTATTTTGCTAGACAGTACTAATAAACAAGATTACACAAAGACGAAGACTGTTTTTATTTTGTAAATAAACGAAACTAGTAGGATTGCAAATAATAATGTTCCTACAGAGTCGGGTAATAATGAGTCTGTTGCCAAAATAGACACAACCGTTTGTTTAAGAGAATAAACGGTATTACATGAATGTTGAGCCCTTGAACTTATATTTATTGAAAACCCTGACTGAAAGAGAGTACTTAAATACATTATAGGAATCAAAATTTTGGGCTTTTCCATCTAGGAATAGATGTGTCACCAGTAAACCAGTCAAATAACAAGCAATGTATACAAATTGACGTTTTAAATTATTGATCTCTACTACCTACTGTTAATTATGACATAAAATGTATATATATTTTGAAGCGAAACTTTGAAGCAAAAACATGTATTCCCGAACAAAATAAGTACTGGAAACAATTCTATTCACCTTTGCATTTACAGTCCTTTGTGAGCAAGTCACAAGCAGAAAACATCAAAGCTCAAGGTAGGTAAGAAAGAAAAATCACAAAATCAAATTCAAAACGAAGCTTGTACACAAACGCTACATTGTAGACGCGCAGTAAGTTTAGAGGCGTCAAAATAAAAATGTAAACTGAGATGTGCAGCAGACGATGCATGTGGATATTGTAAGACTTCTTTGCGGTTTGAGCCTTTGAGCCTTATAATAACTTTGACGTATAATGGCATACTATACAAAATATAGTTAACAAAGTAATGAAAATAGGCAAAGAGTTAATAGCTTCCCTTAACTTGTTCTCAAATGACTTAGGACTGGCACTAAGTCTTTTCTTAATCAGCTTTGGCTACTGACTGCGTACCGCAACTTATTAGACGTTCTTACATTCTTGGTTATACTATGTATTGTCAGAAATATGAACCATTGACTACAATGTATGTATATGGTAATTTGGTAAACTAGTGGAAACCGACAAGCTGTCCAGGACTATGAAACGAATAAGTGATGTTAAAGAACACGAACACTCAATCACGCATAAAATATCAAAATTACATCATGACGACGTACCATTTCACTGGATGTAAGTTAAGTCTTTATTACTTAAATTTTATGCGGTAAACAATACTTTTACTTTCAATACTTACAAAATATTACCAACAGATTTAATACCATCTCTTTCTGCAATCGGAATTTATTGAAACCCACAATGAATCAACGCATTACCGATTACGCAGCTCTCAAACTTACGCATTGCAACGTCATTGACATCTGTGATGAAGAAATTAAATACAAAACAAAGTTAATTTCCATTTAAAATGAAATTAGTAAACAGGTTATCAATTTGACCCACAAAACGGCTATAAATCTTATCAAATCTGTAATAGATAAGTGATTAGTCATCGCCCAGTCACTATCTTGTAAGCCGACTCGATATTTGGAACGTCATAAAATTTATGGATTCGTTGAAATAAAGAATTGGCAATAATCTACTCATTTATTATTTAAAAATTTATGGTCACTATCGTGTGACGACTTCAGAGTAGAATAGCCTTCCCGCGGGAGACATGAGACATTTAACAGAGACTGGACAGCAGTGCTCTCGGATAAATCTGAACCTTTTAATCTGCGTTCACCAAACCGCCTGCGAGGTGTGGAGATTACGATATTCCGTATGTAGAAAAGCAGCTCTAGCTCTAGCAGTGAACTGTCAGAATCCTAATATAATTTATGGCCACAATTCTGTTCATAACAACTTAATCCACTATCAACCAAATTAAATATTCTTCATTATTGGAAATAGGTAGGTACTATGTATATTGAATGTATCATAATTAATATGGAACACGAAAAGTGGCACGGAGATGCGGTTTCGCGTATCGCACATTGAAGTGTTGCCAATTTAGTAAATTATTTACCCCAGAAAATTTAACGTAAGTAAATGTACTCAAATGAAAGTTTGTCGTTCTGGGAACTGATTACTACTGAGAATCCCATGACCAAGATTCAAGAGCTTTTAGACAAAGATCATATTTATTATTAGTTCTCTACTCTATAAGGGATCGTGTTACCATAGCAAACAGACTTCAAAGAAGAGCTCAATCTTCAAACTAAATATTTTTCGAAGGAAATTATGTAATCCTCGAAATTGTTATGTGTGCTAAGCTAAGTAACGTTTCTCGAACCGATTTTGAAATTGCTTCATATGTTTGCTATTTAGAAATCATTACATTATGTGTGTATTGATTTAAACCGTTTATTTTTTCTAGATTTAATTAATGGCGACGTGTTAGTAATACATAATTTATGTTGTCGCTTGATATTTTTATTTCTTTATTTGCTTCATCCATATTTGGCAGTTTAATATTTTACAAATCTCCAGTCATTGACGTTTTTATTTAAGTAAATAAAAAAATACGATTGATACATATCTGAAGCTTTCGATTTCCAAATTAATATAATGACATGACGCCATACTACACAAACGGTGACATTAATTACTAACTATTATGTAAGCATAACAACGACAACAAAAACAATTCATGTAAGACAGCCTTTACATAGTTACAGCTACATTGTTCAATAATTGTTGACAATACACCAGACGCCCACTACACAAGCAATAAGATTGCGCTCATCCATCCTGACGGTTGACTGAAGAGTCCCCGCATAGGATCCTGTTACCCGACCAAAAGGGGATTTTATTCGGTAGCCACCCGATCTT